ACAGGACAGAAACCCAGGACCCCTAGAGCCCAGACCCAGGGGGCACATTTTGCATTCCCTTGTTCTGAGATGTAGCTGTTTATTTGGGGGAAGATGATAAATGGTTTATATTTGGTCACTGTGGAGAATCAGGTTAGGGGACACTTTATATATGATTAGCCACCATCTGAGACATGCATACTGATCTGTGGGTGTACTATTTATATCTAGTGTCATCTCTATGTAAGCTCAGGCTTTCTGGCTGTGTGGCTAACAAGCTGTGTGACTTTGGGAAGTGGCTTCAGTTTCTTATGCCTTGGTGTCCCCAACTGAAAATAAAAGAATTGGCCCAGAGGCTCTCTAAGGGCTTTGCAGCTCTGAGCTGCAGGAGTCTATGCCTCTTTTAGCAGAGTGTGTGGGGGGGCACGTGTGTTGCCTATGTGTGCACATATTGTACACGTGTGCACATCTGAGCAAGCCTGCAGTGGTCTTAGCTGGAACAGCTTCTCATGTGGCCCTAACTATCTATAGCAATGATAACTGTGCGGATACTTGATATTTGGTCTGCCTGGCACCTGTTTGCAGGGTGTTAGAGCTCCTAACAGCACGGGTGAGGATTTGTCAAAGTTTCCATCGTCCTTTGGACAACTGGACTCCAGAGTGTGGGTGGGAAAATTAAACCAAGACGTTAACCTGTCAAGCTGCACATCCCAGTTTTAATTTTACAACATTGAAAAGAAGTCACCATTTAAAAATACATGAGTAGGGCGCCACAGGAAGAGATTGCCTAATTTTCCCTCTTATGGTTATTTCCAAGAGCAAATTAAACTTTTAATGTGTTTTTAACATTTAAAAAACCTTCTAAATTAAAAACCTATGTATATACCCCTTTCTTCCTCTAGTGCACAGCCCGATAAAACACTCACTACACATTTGTGAAATAAATGAATGAATATCTTGACTATCTCTACATAGAATTTTAGTCTGATAGGTATCATGGGTCAGAATTGGCAAACTGGACTGAGTCCGGCCTTCAGATGTGTCTTCTTTGGCCTGAACATTGTTTTGAAATATTTGGATCATGTGTCTGTATTAAAATCAAGAGAGTTCATGTAAAGATGAGTAGGTCTGATAACGTTGCCCACATGCTTCCGTGGCAGTAAGTTGCTGGAGCATTGAAAGTGTACCATAGCACCCACCACTCCCAGGCAGCTAACAGCTATCATTTTAGGCTAAGGTCACAGAGCCTCCGGTAATTCCTCCTCAAAACCAACACCAACTTTTCTCTGTGGAGATGATAAGGTCATCCAGCCATCAGTCACTGCCTTCCTCACGCCAGTCAATTTCCAGTTGTAAGTAAGGACATGAAGACATGCTCAGAGTCCTGTATACCAGAGCATTCTCCCAAAGCAAGCCTCACCCGTAACCAACCTGTCTCTGGACTGACGATGTGCGTGTGACGCGTGCATGTGAATACAGACTCCCCTAATGACAGCTCGTGACTGTCCTGAAGCAGCCAGACTGATACTTCCCTTTGAACTAACTGTGAAGAAAGCACATGCCCAGCTAATTTATTCCATGCACATTAAAGATCAGAAGACCGAAACTTAAATTCCTTAAAGGTTAGGTGGTTCCAATCCCTGCAGGCACCATAGAAGTATACGACCTTTTCAGGCACTGTGGAGGCTAGTTTCAGACTACTCCTTGCTATTCAGTAAAGCAGACCCCCCTTTAGGATCTTGATTAACTATAAAATCTAAAACAACACATTGTTTTCCACACATGCTGTCATTGAGACTTTTCTCCCATTTTACTCTACTTCCCCCATTTACCTCCCATCTCCCTGGTTATTGCAAACTAGAGAGCTCTTCGTGGGGTCCTGGCCCTGCCTGTTAGCACACTGCCTGGACACACAGTGCTGTCCATGGCTGCTTGTTGAGTGAGAGGGAGTAAAGGAAGGAAGATGCGTTTCTGCGCACACACGCCCACCCCGTGCTCTCCTGGTCAGGGTTCCCGTGGTTGGGGAACTCGCTCCTCACCTGTTGGATACCTGGGTCTGAGAGTCGGTTCTAGGTTCCGATAGTCATGAGAGATCCAAGGCAGCGTTTTCTTGCCCATGTAACTCCTCAACAACAAATTCACATAATAAGGCACATCATGTCACAAAACAGGACACCATTTTAAACTTGACCAGCTCTCGCCGGGCCAGTCTCAGCATCACTATCGGTCGCGGGCACTCAGAGGACCTTCTGTCCCCAGCAGTCCACAGCCATTCAGTTTAATGATTGCACTGGCCATCTGCTAGATAACATATGCCATTCGTGCTAACTTTTTTGAAATATAATTTATATACCACAAAATTCACCCATTTAAAGTGTGAAATTCAAGCCCGACTGGTGTGGCTCACTGCTGGAGCATCAACCCATGCACCAAGATGTCCCGGGCAGGACACACGCCCAGGCTGTGGGTCAGATCCCCAGTGGGGGGCATGCAGGAGGCGGCCAATCGATGTTCTCCCTCGTCAATGTTTCTCTCTCTCTAAAAATCAATAAAGAAAAAAAAATGTGAAGTGTGAAACTCAATATTTTTTAGTATATTCACAGTTATACAGCCATCACCACAATAAATTTTAGAAGATTTTCATCACCTCAAGAAAAAAGACCCATACCCATTAGCTGCGACTCCCCATTTCCCCCTCAACTTCCCCTGATTTAGGCACCCACTAACATGCTTTCTGTCTCTACAGATGTGACCATTCTGGACATTTCATATAAATGGAATCAGACACTGTAGTCCTTTGTGACTAGCCTCTTTCACTTAGCACGATGTTTTCAAGGTTTTTTTTTTTGTTTGTTTTGTTTTTTTTTTTTTGTTTTTTTTTATCCTCACCCGAGGACATTTTTCCATTTTTTGTTCAGGTAGAGTGGGAGGGAGAGAGAGGAACAGAGAGAGAGAGAGAAACATCGATGTGAAAGGAACACATCGAGTGGCTGCCACCTGCACAACCGACCAGGGCCGGGGACAAACTGCAGCCGAGGCACGCGCCCTTAGCGGAACCGAACCCGGGTCTCTCAGGACCGCAGGCCGACGCTCTAACTGCTGAGCCAAACTGGCCAGGGCAGATGTTTTCAAGGTTTTACCTACGTTGTAACATGTATCAATACTCCATTTCTTTTTATTGCCAATGGTATTCTGTTGCATGGATACCACAGTTTATTTATCTGTTCATCATTTGATGGACATTTGAGTTGTTTTCACTTTTTGGCTATTATGAATAATGCTGCTATGAACTGGAGAAGTTTTTGTGTGGACACATGCTTTTATTTCTCTTGGGTAACACCTAGGAGTGGAATTGCTGCATCTCACAATAACTGCACGTTTAAGTTTTTCAGAAACTGCCAGACTGTTTTCCAAGGAGGCTGTACCATTTCGCATTCCCATTGGCAGTGAATGAAGGTTCTGCTTTCCCTACATTCTTGCCAACATTTGCTATCTGTCTTTATTACAGCTATCCTAGTGGGTAGTATTTCCTTCTGTGTTTGAGGCTTATTTCCCTGATAACTAATGACGTTGAGCATCTTTTCATGTGTGTTATGGCCATTTTTATGTCTTCTTTGGAGAAATGTCTATTCAGATCTTTTGCCCATTTTTAAAGTGAGTTATGTGTTTATATTTTGAGTTGTAAGATATCTTTGTGTATTCTGGACACCAGACCTTTGTTAGATATGTGATTTGCAAAACTTTTCTCCCAATCTGTGGGTTGTCTTTTCACTCTCTTGATAGTGTTCTTTAAAGCACTAGCATTTTTAATCTTGATGGTGTCTAATTTATCTAGTTGTCTCCTGTTGCTTATTATTTTAGTAGCCTATCTAAGAAACTTAATGCAGGGTCACAAAGATTTATGCCTATATTTTCTTCTAAAAGTTTTATAGTCTTAGTTCTTCCATTTAGGTCTTTGATCCATTTTTGAGTTGATTTTTGTTTATACCATGTGAGGTCACGTTCCATTTTTGAAAATAAATTAAAATGAGAAATAAGCAGGACTTTTAAAAACGTGCAGCTGTCTTTGATTTTAATTGAAAATCATGTTATATTTTATTAAACATATCATTTAATGGTAAAAATTAACTCCTAACGAGGCTGATATTTTCAATATTCACTAAGAATTCTATAAGCTAAAAATTGTTAGAAAAGGCTTTAGACATTTTAAAAAATCAACAGCTTTCAGTAAAGATTTAAATAAATGAAGCCATATTTTAGCATGCTAAAATATATATTTAAAAAATATAAGTAATATTTTTTAAAATATTAAAAACATCTTTATTTTCCTCATAATTATATGGGCTTCAGTTTAACACAGTGGTTCTCAATCAGGAGTGATTCTGCTCCCCAGGGGACATCCGGAAATATTTGGAAACATTATGTGTGTAACAGCGTGGGGAGGAGATGGTACCAGCACCCGGCAAACAGTCTGCAGTGTATAGAACAGCCCCCAGCACAAGGAATCATCCAGCCCCAAATAGCAATTGTGCCAGCGTTGAAAACCCTGCTCTGACTAAGTCAGATCTATCCTCTAGCAGATGTATTTGAGAAGAGATGTGAGTTTGCAAACCCTTTCCCCCTCGTTTACAACCTTGTGGTTTTCTCCCATCACAATACTAAGCCTTTCAGAGGCCAGAATGTGCCCAGAACCTTATTTCCATCACAATGCATTACAGACAAAAATCTATCAGGTTTTTCCTTGTGAGGATCATTGGGAAAACACTTGTTTAGGTTGCTTAATTTATTTTATATATGTGTATGTTTCATTTTTTTGAATCTTGAGATATATTTTAATAACTCATTCCCTGTTCAACATACATATGTGGGTAACCAATCTCCTGTTACAGTGTATTTTATCTGATTATATAACCGTTATAAGTGACTGTGAGTGTGTGGCTCTGGGCTGAGCCCTGTTCCTGGGTTATCTATTTTAATTTTCTCAGCAACTCTGACACAGTGACTAATGTTCCCATTTTCAGGAAGCTGGCCCAGCACATATGAGTCATCACTACTCCAAGTCCGGGCATGAGCCTGAGGGGTTGCCTGTGAGGGGCAGGCACTACTCCTTGCAGGTGATCGCAGAGAGAAAGTTAGGTTGTTCGACTCAGTTAAGTCGGTCAGTGCCCTGCCATCGGAGAGCAGGGAGGGGCACACACAGCCGGCACAGGAAAGCCCATCTCACCTCAGACATGCCCACGGATGTGTGGCTCACCGTGACCGTCACCGTCCTGCATATCACGGTGGACGGCGTCTGAGGACTGCTGCTTAAGGAAAGCTGGGATGTCTGTGACATCACTTATGTTCTCGACATTCACCCCCGAATCAGTCAAGGCTCATTTTCTACCCACTGACCATCTCCTAACATGCTCCAGCTCCCAGAGGTCTCTCCTGCCCTGTGGTGAGATCCACTCGCATGCACACCAGCACCTCCCCTGAGCTCCTCATACTTACCGTGCACTGAGAGGCCGGCTCACCTTCAGCTCTTCCAGAGTCGGGGTCACACTCCGGTCCGCTGACCTCATACTGGAGCAGCAGTGCAGTGTTAGTGCTCAAACGTCTTGTAAAAAGTACACTGCAGTTCAACAGTGAGTACTGCTTCCCTCCCGGGCGTTACCCCTCTGTGTGCACATAGCTATCTTCACGTCCCTGGTATCAGCCCCTCTGAGGGGCTTTCAGGAAAGGAGCTGGGGTGTGGGTGGGTGAGTGAGTGAAGATTCGCGTTTTGATGGTACAAAGACTGAAGTTGGAATGGCTGTCCGGTTTAGCAATTTAGGGGGAGCAGCAGGAAGTGAGGTGAGATTCTGCTTACACCTGCCTTCCACCTCTCTGAACAGAGGGGGAGAAATGAAAGGGAGAGAGAGCAATGATCAGAACTGAAGATTGCCCTCCTCCCCCAATCTAAAGAAGGACCCTGGCTTTTGTTCTGGACCTGTCCGCGAAATTTCTTGGGCAAATTTTGCCTCATTCTGGGCTCAGTTTCCCCTTGAAGGAGGGGTGCATGCACTAGACAATCTCTAAGCATCTTTGCAAGTATAAATTTTGAATCTCTAAGGTACTGGGGGCTGAGGTAAAGGGACACCCAGGGGTTCAATCACCCTAATTAGGAGTCTGCGTTAGTGGGAAGCCCACACCTAGAAGCTTGTCCATGTTTGAAGGAGACACGACAATGATTGGTTGATGCTATCTTTCTTCAGAGACCCATCTCCAGGGGAGACGTTCAAAATATTTAACAGCCAGTATGGCATGAGCACAGACTGTCGGAGGGTAGAAGGCAGCTGGCTGGCCTTCTGGGGCTGCAGCCTGAAAGCTGGCCTCGCCCGCCTCGCCCGCCTCGCCCACCTCGCCCGCCTCGGCCGCCTCACCGTCTGCTGAGCCTTCACAGCTTGTTTTTTGGGTCTGCCTCTTTCTGCCCAACTCTGCATCCAGGGCTCTAACTCAAACCCCTTGGTTTTCTTCTCTCCCCAGTTGCTTTATACACAATGGCTATAAATATCCTCCTGCATCCAAACACCAGCTTAATCATATTTGTCACTCAACAGATGCTCTTGGAGCATCCCTCTGTGCTCAGCCCTGTGTTGGCTGACCCCTCACCCCCTCCTCTTCAAAAAGCATTAGAGGCTGAGAAACACAGGGAAGTCAAGAAACCTAACCTAGCTCGGCCTCACATCTGCTGTGTGAACTTAGACAAGCTCCTGCCCCTACCAGGTGTCAGACTCCTTCCATGTAAATGAGTGACTTCAGCCCCGTTGTTCAGTAATGAGTTTCTGGGGAAATGCATGTCTTCAGCAGCTGACCGCTTTCTCTCTCTCTCTCTTTCTTTCTCCCCCCCCTCCTTTTCTCTCTCTCTCTCTGACACCCGGGCCACCACCTCCACTGTAGAATGCACTGCTGCCTGCAGGCCTGAGGCAGAAGGATCAGACCACCAAGGCGCCCACGGGCCCCTTTAAAAGGGAGGAGCTCTTGGATCACTTGGAAAAGCAAGCAAAGGAGTTTAAGGACCGAGAAGATCTGGTCCCCTACACAGGGGAAAAGCGAGGTACTGAATAATGTTGCTTTATGAATATGTCATTCCCTGTGCATTGCTGAGTGCCAACTGCATGCCAGGGCCTGTGTTGGGCCCGATGTGACTGGGCCTCCTTGCCTGCATCCCTGCCTGGCCAAAAACATACACCCAACTCCAAAATCGATGATGTAGATTTAGGGAAGTTTTTGGGTAAACCAAACCGGTGAAACTTCCCCCCTAATCCTCTTTAATTGGGCTGTCCTGTTTATTTTTTATACAAACCTAGACACTTTTGAAATGAGAGAAGTAACTATTAATCATGTTACCAGGACATGAGACCTAAACAAGGCCCATCCTGTGCAAACCAAGAACAAGAGATCCCCTCTCTCACTCCAACCATCCCTGCTCTTTCTCAAAAGTCCCTCTCTCTGGCAGTTGCATTATTCCTTCCTTCATCTGTCCCTCCACCAGTCTGCCTGGCCTAAGGCAAGTCTCCCTGACTCTCCAGCCCCTCTAGGACTTCCTGTTGCACCCAAACCATCTCCTGCCCTCTTCCCTCAGGCTGCCCTTGCTCGACACAAGACACACTGCTTCCCGCAGGCCTGCTGAGCTCTTCTCTGCCTCGGGCAGCCCTCTGCCGGATGCCACCCTCCGGCACCGGCGCTGGCGCGGCCCTCCTGCTGTCTTCCTGCCCGGGAAGAGGCGTCATGGCTGGAAACAGCCTGCAGCAGGGTGCATTTTGGTGGCAATCCTGGCACTGCCACTTACCAGCTATGTGAGCTTGAGTGAACTGTTCAGCCTGCTGTGCCTCCATTTCCTGGTCTGTAAAATGTGGGTGATGAAAATAATATTACCAGTTATGAGGACTGAGTTACGATATATATAAAGCGCTTAGAACAGCACCTAGCCCATAGTGAGGGCTACGCAAGTATTAGCTATTAGTATCTTTTCGGCCTCAGCTGTCCTCCTCCTCTCTCAGGGGAGCCTTTCCTGTCGCCGTGGTTTAGGACGTGCAGTTTCTTCAGCTCCCTCTTGGTAATTCTTCATCTCAGGAGCCTGTGGGCTTCCTTCATAGTAATTCCCATTTTATCACTATCTCTTTATTTATCCTGTGCCTCTCTCACTGGCCTGTGAGCCCCATGGGCGCAGGGATTCGGGCTGTTTGTGCTCACACAGTGCCCTCAGCACATGGCACAGGGCCTGGTATACAGCAGGACTCAGTAGACAGTTGGTAAATGAATGAATGAGTCCAAATGAAATAAATGTACAATGAATCTTGTGGACTACTTCCATAGAATAGAAGTCCCGCCCTGGCCAGTGTGGCTCAGTTGGTCGGGTGTCATCCTGTGCACCAAAAGGTTGCCAGTTTGATTCCCAATTAGTGCACATGTTTAGATTGTGGGTTTGATCCCTGGTTGGCGTGTGTATGGGAGGTAACTGGTTGATGTTTCTCTTTCTACCTTCCTCTCTTTCTGAAATCAATAAAAACATATTAAAAAAAAAAAAAGATATAAGCCCCATGAGTACAAAGACCAAATTTGGCCCTGGCCTGTTTGGCTCAGCGGTTGGAGCATCGGCCTGCGGACCAGAGTCCCAGGTTTGGTTCCCGCTAGGACCAACTTTATCTTGTTCATTATATCCACATCTAATAAACCCCAGCATGTAGCAGACACCAGATATTTATTTACTGAATTAATTAGTTAATTGTGTAATTATTTATTTTTAGTCTCTTCCATTCTTCCTACCCCCAAGAATGAAGTGCGATGAGCAAAGGGTCCAGGTCTGTGGCTTGTATCTCTAGTCCCTGTTGAATTAGCACAGTACCTTTCACAGAGTATCTGCTTGATAAATAATAAAATGAAAAAGTCAGCAGGAATAGACATGGTGGGGAGGACACTGAGTCATCCCAAACCCTGGTGTTGGAGCTCAGACCACTGAACACATGGAGGGTCAGGGAAGTCTAGGGGCATCTGGATACAGAACTCTGGAAGGACCGTGTGATCTGCGGTGTCCTGAAGGTGGTAGCAGGGCCAGGGGTGGGAATGACTGGGACCTTGACCACAGGGCTAGGTGTGCCCCACTGGGAATGTGGGCACAAGATGTTCTTAAGCAAGGTACTTGTGCCATGAGGACTGATTTCTATACACCAGATAAAAATAATATCTCTGGGTTTCATGGGCCCTTAAAACACCCAGTGTCCCACCTGTACATTTGAAAAATGGGGAAACTGAGGCTGTGAGAGAGTCAGCAGCAGGCCAGGGTGGACAGCTGGTGAGTCATTGCTGGCTCCCACTTCCTCAGGTACCCACCCCTCTCCCAGGGGAGGAGCTGTAGATGGGGTGGGGGTGGGAAAGGGAATCTGGGTGGTACATAACCAGTCCTGCCCCTCCAGAGAATGCCGGCCTGGCCTGGAGCCTTGCACAGCATTGCAGGCTCCCAGAGCCTGCAGCCTTCACAAAAACCAGGCTGACCCAGGGAGAGTAGCTAGAATTTATTCATTGCCTCATGACAAGCCTAAAAGGTTCATCATCATCATTGTCATTATCACCACCAATGTCATCTCCATAACATTGATTATTGTTGCAGTCCTTGTAGGTTGAATATGCGGGGGTCTCAACAGAGAGTGTGGAGAAGACTGTCCAGCTCTAACAGCCAGATGGGGCCATTCAGTCCGGCCCTCGCTGGGCGTTCACCCACGCTGGGCCTGGAGCTTGCCTCGGCTGAGGGGAGACCACTCCAGCCCACAGGACCTAACAGAAGGTGACAGGAGCTATACCCTGGTGCAAAATCCCGAGGAATTTGAACTTCATTCACTCTCATTCAAGTGGGGGATCAGAATAAAATATCCATGCAGAATATTTTCATTGGAATTAGATTTGGCTACATGTGCTAGGGTAAAAAGTAAAATAAGAGAGACTTAAGCAAGGTGGAAGTTTAACTCTTTCACTTAGCAGAGTTGCAGGGTTAGGCAGTCCAAAGTTGGTAAGGAATCTTGCCTGGTATTAGGAATCAAGACCCTTTCCAGTTTTTTACATCTACCATAGCTGCAATATGTTCTTGTCCTCGTGGCACTTCGAATTGCTGCAGCACCAGTCATCACATCCACATTCCAATTAGTAAGATGAAGGAAGGGAAGAAGTCCAAGTCCTTCTTGTGGTGCTTTGAGTCATCACCCTTACTGGAGACACCTGCTGCAGGGATATAGTAAACCACAGGTCTTAAATATTTAGTGAATGTTCATCCTAGTCATTGTATCAGTCATTTTCACAGTTGATTTTCATTTTAGCCACTTTGTTTTCTTTGTATGTTTTTCCTTTTTCCAGATCCACATACAGTGGAGGTTATGATACATTTTCCCCCAGAAGCTTGTCATGAGACTTACTTATATCGGTATTGACCATTGCTGTAAACAACTTAGACAATAAAACAAAGTAATTTCCTCCACTGAAAGACACTGATCCCATTTTAGTGAATGCCTCTGGCATTTCTCTTCCCACCTCTACCATTACCACCCTGGTCCAAATCACCATCATTTCTCACCTGGACTACTGCAGGAGCCTCCTAACCCTCTCCCGGCGGCTTCCGTACTCCCCCCTCTTTGGGCTGTTCTCAATCAATAGTGAAAGTGAGCAGGTTTTTTTTTTTTTTAATTGAAGCAATATTCACATAATATAAAATTAGTCATTTTAAAGTGAACAATTCAGTACTGTTTAGTACATCCACAGTGTCGTACAACCACCATCTCTATCTAAATCCAAAACATTTTCGTCACTCCAAAGTAAAACCCAGTGCCGCATAAGCAGTTACTCCCATTCCCCTGCACCCAGGCCCTGGCACACCAATCTCTTTCTGGGGATTCACCTATTCTGGATATTTCCTATACATTAGATCATATAATGTGTGACTTTGTGTATCTGGCTCTTTTCACTTAGCGTATTGTTTTCGAGACTCATTCATTCCCTTTTATAACTGAATAATATTCTGTACTTTGTTTATTCATCCATCCAGTGATGAACTTTTGGTTGTTCCCACTTTTTGGCTATTGTGACTAGTGCTGTTATGAACATTTATGTACAAGTGTTTGTTTGAGCGTCTGTTTTCAGTTCTTTTCACTGGATCATATGGTAATACTACATTTGATTTTTTGAAGAACTAGAAAACCTTTCCAAAACAGTTTCACCATTTTTCATTCCCACCAGCAATGCACAGGGGGTTCACTTTCTCCATATCCTTGCCGACTCTTGTCATTTTGGTTTTTACTGTAGCCATCCCTGTGGGTGTGAAGAGGTATGTCACTGTGGTTTTGCAGTTTCCTGATGGCAAATGGCGTTGAGCATCTTTTCATGTGTTGTTGGCCATTATGTATATGCTCTTTGGAGAAATGTCCATAAATCCTTTGCCCATTTTAATGTGGTTCTGTTGTTGTTGTTGAGTTGTAAAAGTTCTTTATATATTCTGCATACTAGACCCTATCAAATATATGAGTTGTGGATATTTTCTCCCATCCTGCATGTTGTCTTTGCACTTTTTTGATAATCCTTTGCTGCGCAAAAGTTTTAAATTTTGATGAAGTCCAATTGATGTATTTTTTTGTTATATCTAAGAATGCATTGTCAAATCAAAGGTCATGAGATTTACGCCTGTTTTCTAAGAGTTTTGTAGTGTTAGCTATTATGTTGAAGTCATTAATGTATTTCCAGTTCGTTTTCATATATGCCGAGATAGGGGCCCACTTTCCCTGTGCATGTGGATTTCCAGCTGTCCAGCACAACTTCTTGAAGAAATCATTCATTTTTTTTTTTAATATGTTCTTATTGATTTTTTTTAGAGAGAGAGAGAAACATTAATTTGAGAAACATTAATCTGCTGCCTCCTACACGCCCCCTACTGGGGATTGAGCTCACAACCTGTGCACATGCCCTGACGGAGTCAAATTAGAACCTCTTAGTCCATGGGACGTCACTCAATCCATTGAGCCACACCAGCCAAGCAAAATGCTTCTTCCTTTCTTTGAATGGACTTGGCACCCTAAACCAAGTTTGCCATAGATACATGTATGGGTTTCTTTCTGGACCCTCAATTCTGTCCCATTGTTTATATATTTATCCTTATGTTAGTGCCACATCACTTTGCTTTCTAGTAAATCAGGACATCTGGGTCCTCCAACTTTGTTCTTTATCAAGATTGTTTTGGCTGTTTGGGGCCCCTTGCAATTTTATATGAATTTGAGAATTGGCTGGTTTTATTTCTGAAAAAAAAAAAAAAAAAAGCTGGTGACATGTTGATAAAGATTGCATTATATCTGTAGGTTGCTTTGGACATCCTTGCCATTTTATTTTTTATTTTTATTTTATTTATTTTTTATCCTTACCTGAGGACATTTTTTCATTTTTTGTTCAGATAGAGTGGGAGAGAGAGAGAGGAAGAGACAGAGAGAGAAACATTGACATGAAAGGGACACATCGAGTGGCTGCCACCCGCACAACCCCAACCAGGGTCGGGGACAAACCACAACCAAGGTACATGCCCTTAGTGGGAACCGAACCCAGGTCTCTCCAGACCGCAGGCCAATGCTCTAACCACTGAGCAAAACCAGCCAGGGCCATCCTTGCCATTTTAAAATGGTCTTCCAATCAATAAACTTGTGATTTTTAAAATTCATTTAGGTCTTCTTGAATTTCTTCCAGCAATGTTTTATAGTGTTCCGTGCAGAAGTCTTCCGCCTTCTTGGTTAAATTTATTTCTAAGTATTTTTTTCTTATGGATGCTATTGTAGATGAAATTATTTTCCTAATTTCCCTTTCAGATTGTTCATTGCTGGTGCACAGAAATACCACATATTTGTATATGTTGATCTTGTACCATGTAACATTGCTGAATTCACTTACAGTGATACCTCAGTTCTCGAACATAATTCGTTCCAGGAGGACGGTCGAGAACCAAATTGTTCGAGAACCGAAGCAATGAAACCCAATAGGAAATCATGGAAACTGGATTAATTCGTTCCAAGCCCCAGAAAATGCCTATTTACTGGCCTAATTTGTATATAATATGTAGAAAAACATAAGTCTCAACAAGAAATAAAAGTGTACAGTATGTCTAAGGGTTAAATTCAGTGTGAAGCGTGACTCTCTCCACAAAGCGTGACTCTCTCTCTGCACTCACACTGATGGCGCAAGCAAGGCGCGCTGGGCCGAATGAACGCCATTCGGCTCAACTCGGCTCATCTCGGAAGTTCGAGTTCCAAATATTTGTTCGGATTCCAAGACAAAAGTTTCTCGAATCTCCTGGTCGAATACCGATTTGGTCGAAAGTCAAGGCGTTCGAGAACCGAGGTATCACTGTATTAGTTTTTTCCGGAATCTTTTGGGTTTTCTACATATAAGATGTCAACTGCAAACAGGAATTATTCTTCCTTTCCAGTCTGAGTGCCATGTATTTGTTTTTCTTATTCATTTACTCTGACTAGAACTTTTCATGCAATGTCAAAGGGCAGCGATGAACGCAAGCACCCTTGTTCTGTTGCTGGTTTTAAGGGCTCATTCCCTTCTCATGCTCCCCAGAGCATAGGCCATCATCTCAGGGAGGCCTCCCCTCAGCACCCCACCTGAAAGAGCAGTGCCCACCTCGGTCACACCCTCCTGGAACCTCCCAGTCATCTGCTCGGCTTATTCCCCCCCAGTAACTCTAAGAGCTCTGCGTGCTTGTGTATTACCATCTTCTCTTGCTGAATTGTACATTGGTCACGGCTGTTCCCCTAGTCCCTAGGAAGGTGCCTGGCCCACTCAATAAATATCTGTTGCATGAATGTATATATATATATATGTAATTTTTCATACATGGAATTAAATTTGATGTTATCTTGCAAAATTGCTTTTGCCACATTTTGTCTTGGCATTTTCCTTATTAGTAAGTGGAGATCTCCATCACCCTTTATAAGAACTGCTGGAAGTCCATTACAGGGGTGCCCCAGAATGTCTTCAGCAGTCCCTCGTGGTGGACACTGCAGTGACCACCCTCGTGTGTGCCTCTTTGCTCCCTCGTGCAGTTACGAGTCTGACACTTTAAAAATATCACGTCCCATGAGGCAAGGAGACATTTCTTGCTCCCTAGTCCTTTTTTGATCATCTGAGTATATTTTATTTATTTTGTTTAGAGATGTTTCTAAATTTTTCTCTTCTGTCCTAACCCTTAGGATATCCCAGACCCTGCATTCTAATATATTTTTCTTTTGTGTCTTTTTCCTACTTACAGGTCATTTAAATTAATGACTAATGTTTTCAGTAGCAAGCAGTCTAGTTTGACCAAGCTATAAAGGTATTATTTTCAAAATGAAAGGTGCTTTGTGGGAGATCTTCCATTCCTGTTCTTGGGGAAGTTTGGCATTGTGTCCCCAGAGGGACAAACCCCAAGGGACTCTCAGCACCGAGGGGCCACAGGGCTTTGGGACGGTCACCCAGGGCTGTCGGCAGCGGCTGCCCAGTGCTGCCACTCTCCGTGTAATGGACACTCCTGTGTTTGCAGGGAAGGTCTGGGTCCCCAAGCAGAAGCCGATGGACCCCGTGCTGGAAAGTGTGACGCTGGAGCCGGAGCTGGAGGAGGCCTTGGCGAACGCCTCGGACGCGGAGCTCTGTGACATCGCAGGTGAGGCGCCAGGCACCCCCACAGCCTCCAGAAGGAGCTGAGCGTCTGCAGGGAGTCTTGGGTGGTTTATTGCAGCATGAACACCCTCTCTCTTTCTAACAAGGACCAGAGGAGACCAAGAATAGAAGTCCATATTAAAATAGAAGTCCACCATCAAAAACCAAAACGAGAGAAATAGAGATAGAACCACCCAAACCCATTACACCACACAGCCCTCTGTTCTTGCCCTGAGACCCCATCCCAGAGGGATGTGGAAGCATCCTGGGGGTGGGGGTGGGGCTGCAGGGCCCTGTACCCACCTGCTTCAGAGCCTGCCCACACCATCTAGAAGAGAGAACGGGGCGGCAGACGGAGGGCTGCGGGCATCTCAGGTTTGGGAGGTTCACAAGGGCTTGAACAACACCATCTCATTTTACTCTGCACAGCTCAGAAAACCTCCCTATCTCATATTTGTACAACACCTTCCACCTTCATGTGTATTTCCACATGGTCTTCCCAAACAGCCCCTAAAACTCCAGGAGGTGGCCTGACCTTCAGAGCCCTTCGCCCCCTCGTCATCTCTCCTCATTGCGGGCTGGCCCTGCGCCCACGCCTGCGTTCCGTGCCCACCGCGAGTCCGGGCTGGCCGCAGCGAACACTCCCGTGCCCCCATCGGGCTGTGCTCCTGGCCAGCGGGTGGGTGGTCTTTTCATTCGCAGCCTTGGGGGCTATTACCCATCACCCAGGTGACAGGAGGGTGGATAGTGTGGGGAGAGACTCAAGGCAGGTGAGAAGGGGCGAGGGAGGATGGGGTTGATGCTGCTGTGAGGTGGGATCGGGGAGGAGTCAGGGAAGGCTCCAGACCGCCATCTCCAGAAACTACGTGGGTGTCGGTGCCATTAAAGAAGGTGGGTGTATTCGTCTGCTTGAGCTACCGTAACAAAATACCACAGCCTGGTGCCTTAAACAACAGCAGTCCATTTTCTCATAGTTCTGGAAGTGGGGAGCCCAAGATGAAGGTGTCGGCAGGTTAGGTTTGTTCTGAGCCCACTCGTTGGCTTGTGGTGGCCGCATCTCTCTGTGTCCCTCTGTGCATGTGTCCCCTGGTGTCCCCTTGTGTGTCCTGATCTCTTCTTATGAAGACACCAGTCAGATTAGATCGGGGCCCACCCTAAAAGCCTCATTGTAACTTAACCACCTCTTTAAAGACCTTATCTCCAAATACAGTGATACATTCTCAGGTCCTGGGGATTAGAGTTTAATGCATGACTTTTGGAGGGACACAGTTCAGCCCACAGCCGCGGGAGAGGAGCAGGCTCCAGGGAGATGCTGCGTTCACTCTGAGGCCTTTGGAGTGCCCGTGGGCCTCCCAGGAGGGAACAGCTGAACATGAAAGTCTCCGAGTTCTGAGTTCTGCACGGGATCCGCACTGCAGCCTGTGGCATCATTAGCAGAGATATGGGAGTCATTAGCATCCCACGCTCCAGGCAGAGGGCATGGCAGGAGGGGGCCTAGGGCTCTGCAGGCAAGTGTCCTGGCGGGGCAGAGAGAGGAGAGGTGGAAATGAGGCACCGCCAGTGAGTGGGGCCAGTTAGCCAGAAATGGGCTGGGAACCGAAGGCCGAATCAAACTGGGCAGAACCCAATGCAAGAGCTAGGGAGACAGAATGCGGTTCAGTGCTGGCCTGAGACTCAGAGGTACGTGAGGCCAGAGGCCAGGTGAGGCCACCCGTGCTGTGGACTCGGTCTCCTGCCCCCTCACGTCCTCTGGCTTCTCGTCAGTGTTGCGCATGAGTCCTGATGGCATTTGTTGCGGGGGCTGGGAGCAGGAAGGGCATGGCTGTCATCTGTGTGGGGCCCTGTGGGCCGGGGCAGTGAGAAGGCTCCAGGCTGCAAGAGGGGGGACCCTGGTGCTGGTGCCCAAGGCCGGGGGAAAGGGCCTAAGGAGGGAAGGTGGAGAGCCAGGCTGTAGACTGAGTCCAGGAGGCAGGAAACCTGGGAGAGGCCAAGGGCAGTGGCTTGAAGGGTGTCAGGGCTGAGAGAGAAAGGTTTCCCCTTCCCCTGGGAAGTACGAAAGCAGTGAGCACCCTGCCCAGGTGGAAATTGAACGCAACTCAGAAAACGTAACTGGTTTGCGTTGAAGTTTAGTTCTGTTTTGACAAAATCACACAAATCATATTAGATCCCACATCCTGCTCATATATTTGGACTGACCCATTTCCCTGATGGGGGGGGGTCCCCTTGACTTCCAGTCCATCTGTGCAGCAGGGATGCAGGTGGGTGACACCCTGTGCAGCATCTCCCTCTGACTCACCCTGGAGCTGTTTTTCTCCTGGTCCTTCTCCTCCGATCACCCTCTGTGACATCGCTCCCTTCATTAGTCAGCTCAGAGGGGTTATCAAATGACTCCACACTCAGAACCGCCAGTTTCTGTGCCAAAATAGGACTGCAATATTGGGCTAAGTTTCTGTCTCAGTTTCTTGAAATGCTTTCTCTTTATTTTCGTTGGCGTGGCTAATTATTATTGTTCATGATACCATCCCCTTCTGAGGTCCAGAAAGGAGGGGGAGCTGTAAGTCGACATCGGTGTTCACTGGCTAACCTTGGCGCCTGTCATTGTGTGTCAGCCGTTTGAAGGTGCCGTGTCTCTGGGGAAGGAGGGACTGAACGTTTATTGACCTCCAACGATGTCCCAGGTGCTGTGGGAGTTGCTTCCAATACCTTGCTTTGTTTTTATTGACTACAACAATCCTGTGAAGTAAGTTTTATTGTCCCCATTTTCTGGATGGAGGAAGTGGGCCCGGTGAGGTGAGACGCCTTCCCGTGGGGTTGACCCCCAGGCAGCTTCGTGCTATGGCCCACTCGCAGCATCGCCGTCCAGTGCAGCCTGGATAAAGCCCTCCAGGGTGGGGGGCAGGTTGGACACAGGTGGTGGGTGCGAGGGGGTGCCAGGCCTCACGGAGTCATCTGGGGGAGGAAGACTCTGGATGCCTCACTAGGGTGACTCCTGGGACTAGGGGAGCTTTGGGAGAGACTGTTGAAAGCAGGGTGTGGGCAGAGGGGCAGTGGTGTTTAGAGGATGGGGGGACACAGGAAGCAGCCCAGGTAAGGCCAATGGCCAGGGGAAGCCACAGGACTGCTTATGAGCTGTGGCTCCACCGAGAGACCAGCTGTTCCTAGTGCTGGATCAGGCCAGCATTTCAAAGATGCTGCAAGAGGTGGAGGCGGTGGGGGCGGGACATCTTGCCAGAGAGCTGGGCGTGGCAAGCCCACCTGGGGCAGGGTGGAAGGGGGTGGTCTGGCCTTTCTCGAGGAGGGAGCGCATGGAGCCAGAGTGTGGACGAGCCTTTAGAGACAGAACCGTAGGGAGAGGAGGGCATCCCTGGAGCTGCCACCCAGCTCCCAGGCAGAGCCCTTCCATGAAGCCGGGGCACCTATTCACACATTTGCCAGCCATTTATCTGGCCTCCCTTCTGTGTGCCAGGCTCTGACCGCTCTGGGGAAAGAATCCCAAGAAAGCAGCCTGGTTCCTGCCCTCACAGAGCCACATAAACTAACACCGAGGCCAGTGTGAAATGACCCGGGAGAGTGAGTGTCGTAGAGGAAAAGAACAGGTGCAGGATGGGGTCTTGGCTGGGTGAGGGGGCAGAGATGAAGCTGATCCTAAAGGAGAAAGGGCAGGGAGCCCCGGGGAACAGGGGGGAAGGCAGGCCCCCCTGAGCCGCTTGCTTTGCAGATTCGTGTGCAGCAGGCTCAGTGTTTGGTGATGCTAGCCACCTGGAGGAGGTACAGCAGATGTGTCCCCTGACTCGAGTGTGTGTGGCACGGGTGAGGCAAGGTCTGCGAACTCTCATCTGTTCATTCGTTCTTTTCATGTCTGCACCATCCATGCATTCGTTCACTCACTCATGTGTGTGTCCGTTAGGGAACTCCTACCATGAGAATGAATCAGATCTGTTCCCTGCCCTGGTGGGCCCAGGATTGAGGGGGACAGAGCAGAAGCATGTACATTTTAATGTCAAGTGACACCACGGGGTGGTGAGCGGAACTTACAGGCTCTGACAGTACTAAATTCTTGGCGTGTGGCGTTGGGTTGGAGCTTGGAGGAGGGAGTCATCTGCAAGCATTTGGCGTTATCAATGTTTCCCATCCCCAGTTAGGGAGGTGATCCTGGCTTGCCTTTAGGGACCTTCAAATGGGACAGGATCCAAGAAGGAATGGGGGGTAGGGAGACTCACCCTTCAGAAAGAGCCAACCTTCAGGCAACCCCCAAGGACAGTTGGCACCCCCTGGTTCTTGTGACTCTCAGAGGCAGTTCTAGGAAGACCCCCCCCAGCTCCTGATGTACTTCCCTGCCCTTAGACTCCTGCCCTACAAGAGTCAGGGTGCGCTGATCCAGGAGCCATTCAACTGCACCCAAGTCCTGGGCCAGAGCCAGCTTCTGCCGCCTGTTCCTAGGAGGCCTGCCGTCGGCCCCAGCCTGATGTGTGCTGTCATCCCTCTGCATCCTCAGTGGAGTTATGAACCCAGGAAACCCTGCCAAGGCAGAGAGGAAAGAGAACTTGATGTTCTTTTTCAGAGTTCAAAAATAGTCCTTTTTGAGTTTTGAGGAAGATTTGACTTATTTAAAAAAAAAAAAAAAAAAAAGATCACATTCCCCAGTGCTAAATTCAGCCTTGCCAATATCTACCAAGAATGAAGCAGCGCAATGTTGATGTGCTGTTTTCCTTCATCATTCTCCTCCCTCCCTCCTCCTCCTCCCTCCCCCCCTCCTCCTTCCTTCCTGGAACCCTAATTTTCTTGGAGCTACAGGGTGGTTTTGTTTCTTCTTAGGCCTACTATTGACATTTATTCCCTCCTAGATATATGTTATCTGTTTTTAGAACTTGGAAGTAGAGGGGAAGTTTTAGAACTTTAGACCTGCTGGTGACCTAGTGTGTGGAGGAGTGTGTGGGAATGAATACTAACTTAGAAGCCAGAGAGTCCTCGCTGAATGGTCTTTGACAAGCTACTTCCCTCTCGAGCCTGCTGGGAATATGAAGGGTCCACAGCACCTGCCCTGGAGGGTGTAAAAAATCAAACAGGATAAAAAGATGGGATGTTAAGTCCTATGTGAAAGTAAGAGATCAGCTTTCAAACATGCCCATTTTACAGGTGAGAAAACTGAGGCTCAAAAAGCAGACGTGATCTGGACAAGGTTACCCAGCAAATTAGTACCAAGGCCAGACTGGAGCCCAGGTCTCCTTCCTCTGGCCCCTGGCACTTTCTGTAACCTTCCTGCCTAGGTCCCCCTTTCTGGACTGTAATGGGAAGCTATCATCCGAGCACAGAATGCATTTCCCATTTTCCACCTCTCTATACACTCTAAGCAAGACCAGCCAGCCACATGAGGTCACGTCTTTCCTGTGATTCCCAACAACCTTTCCAAACCTGCAATCGCAGCAGCAGCCCAGGACCACCGGGAGCTGCTCCCTGTGTAGGAGCTGGAAGGCGGCTCCGGAAGGTGATGCACAGTGCTCCAATTCACCTGCCGCTGACTCAGGCCCAGCTTCCACTACCCACGTAGGCACAGCCTAAATAAAAGCCCAGAGAGCTTGTAATAATGCAGATGCCTCGCTCCCTACCAGCTCCCCTTAGCGATGAGCAGGCAGGTCTAATTTTAGCAGGGAAGACTCTTAGAATGTGAGAAACAGAAGGGACTTTGAGATCATCTCATCCTGCGGTTCTCAGCTCCCACTGAGCATCAAAACCATCCAAGGAGATTAAATATGACACCTCCAGAGATCCAGATTAGTTGGTCCAGGGTGGAGCATGGATATTGTCTCAAAGTTCTCAGGTGAATCGTATGTACAGCCATGATCTTGTCTCACGTCTTCATTGGACAGGAGAGGCTGAAGCCTGGAGAGGGAGGAGACTTATGCCAGGTCCCACAGCACTGGGGACATGATCAGGACAGATCCCCTGACTCTTTCCTAAGGGCTCTGGTGTTTCTTCTCTAACTAGAAACCATATCTAATAAAATGACTGGGGGAATTTTTAAAAAACCAGCAGCAAATAGTATTTACCAAATACCTACTATATTCTAGAAGAGGTAGAAGAAAGATGATATTCTTTCCTGGCCTCTGGAAGTCCATAGTCCAACGGGGAAGCACACACGTACTGAGATATCTCTAACACCATGTGGACGATGTGCCGTGATAAGGACACCAGGTGCCATGGGAGAACTAACAGGGAAGAGGGAGGAATCCAGGAAGACTCCCTGGGGGAGGAAGTATTATTTTAAGTCCTGAGGGATGGGGAGTTGTTAGGTCAACTACAGGATGCTCAGTTGGATTTGAATTTCAGATAAACAATGGATAAGTTTTCACTATAAGTAGGTCCCAAATACTGAATGAGACCTACATATACTAAGCATTTTTTATTGCTTATCTGAGAGTCCAATTTAACTGGGTGTCTCTAGTTTGATGTGCTAAATCCAGCAGCACAACTAGGATCAGGTCAGCCGTGGGCAGTGCGAGTGAACAGAGGGTCGCCGTCGGAACAGGAGGTTGGCAGAAGCAGGAGAATCTACTGAGCGGTGGCTCTGCCCGGGACAGAGAGGGGGTGGCAGAGGGACAAGGCTGTGGGAGCAGGGCCAGCCCAGGAGGGTCGGTGAAGCCAGGCTCTGGGGATCACAAGCCACCATCCACCCACCCCGATGGCTGTAACAGCTCACGGTCCCCCCATGTCCTTCTCTCCCCTCTGCAGTCAGTTCTCCAGACCCAGAGTAACACACCGAACTCAAGTTGAACCAGTTCGTGCCCTGCTCTGGCCTTCAGTGGCTTCCCAGGCTGTCCCTGGGAAAAGACATCCAAACTCCTTATCTAAACCTAAAAGACCCTGCAGGGTCCAACACCGACTTTGAATAAAATCTGCTCCCAAGGGTTACTGAAAGGATTCAGGGGGATAGTGTCAGGTGGTGATGTCCACCTTGTCCTTGAAACCATGGGGAGCTTTTTAAAAAAGGCAGATATCTTGGCTCCAGCCCAGAGGCTGTGGTTTAATTGGTCTGGGAAGGCCTGGGCGTCAGGAGTTCCTAAAGATTCCACTGTGATTCCAACGTGCAACCAAACGAGAATCACTGAAGTACAGCACCTTTCTGGCCCAGAGCAGGTGGCTCAGCGGGGGCGCTACGCCGTCCACCACGTGTCCATCATCTGTGTCTCCTGATGGCATCTCTGTCCATCATCTGTGTCTCCTCCCTCCTCCCTCCGGGCCTTCCACTCCCTGAGCCTAGGGCTTTCCCATCCACCGTTCCCTCTGCCCAGAATACTCTACCTGCTTTCTCTTAACTTGGCCAACACTCGTCATTCCCATCCAAGTCCTCCTGTTCCACTCTCCCAGAACACACGGAGCTTCTCCTTCATGACACCTGCTCTACTCTGTGCCTGTTTCTTGTTGTGTGGGTACCTGCCTAGCGGCTCTGTCCCCAGCTGACGGTAAGCTACCTGGGCAGGGATCCTGTTTTTCTTGTTCCCTGCTGTCCCCTTCGCCCCTGGAGCTGGACACATGATGTTGGCACTGAATAAATGTGAAATAAATGAATGGACGAAAGAATGACTGAGCACAGGTGTGATGTGGTCAGATTTGCATTTCCAGAAAGATCTTTCTGGCTGCTCTGTGCTGAAGCTGGGGGTGGGGCCAGGGCACCAGCAACTATACATGTGTGACAATATAGCCAAGAAATGATAGTGCCTCAGCCATGACAAAGGTGATGAGTGGGAGGTGGGACAGATGAAGAACACTGTTTAGAAGGGTGGGGACTTGGTGAAGTGCCAGGTAGGGAGGCTCTACCCTGAGGGACAGGGAGGATGACAAGGGAAGAGGCTGTCGCTGGGGAAGGCAGATTCTGTTTGGGCCACATTGGGTTGGGTGTGCCAGTGGGACCTCGGGGGCCATCTAGGAATCCGAGGCTGGGGACCAGAGCAGTCTAGGCCGCTGACAGAGATTTGACACTCATGTAAATAGAGGCAAATAAAATTTAAAAGTTTTAATGGGAGCATTTCTTGCCATTTCTGGGAGCAAAAATGTTGAGGGTGTGGATTGTCCATGCCCGGAGGCTCTTCTGTTTGAGCGGGCCAAGTCATGGGCCCATCCCTGTCCCCGCAGCTATCCTGGGCATGCACACGCTCATGAGCAACCAGCAGTACTACCAGGCCTTGGGCAGCAGCTCCATCGTGAACAAGGAGGGACTCAACAGTGAGTACGCACCTGACTGCGGCTTCAGCACCCTCCTGCCCCAGCGAGGCCACCTTGGGAGTGAAGTCATCCTCGCTCTGCTTGCTTCCTCCCCTCACGCTCTCTGGCTCAAGGCAGAACTTTTATATTCTTATGTAGCCAAACCTATCCACCTGTTCCTCTTTCTCTCCTTTGTCTTGTTTACGCAGCCCATCTTCATCCCAGTATTATTAAAATCTCCTCCTATATTTTCTTCTAAAAGTTGTAGCGGTTGACTTCTTAATCCACCTGGAGCTTATGTTTGTGTGTGGTATGAGATGAGATCAAATTTTCATTTTTTTAATGGATATCTCATTGTCCCAACACCATTCTTTGCAAAGCGTGTCTTTCCCCCACTGGTTTGGGACTCCACCGTGATCGCGAACTCCCGTGCATCCACACGGCTCTGTCCCTGGGGGCCCTCCGGTTCCACGGGTCTCCTTGTCTTTTCCTGTGCCAATATTGCATAGTCTGCACTGCTCAGGCACATTGTTCCAAGCTGGCGTTTGGGCCCCAGAGAGGAGTGGGTGCCAAGAGTCACTGGCTGACTCCTCTGGGAGGCTTACACATTTCTCTCCCATCCAGGCTTCCTGTCCTCCTCACAGGAGCCCTGTTCACAGGCTACAGGGTGAGGACATGGCCGTTAGAGAGTTTAAGGATGTCACCTAGTTCTGGCAGGATGTCAGACCGTCCGAGCAGGGCCCTCACGCCCTCCCCTGTCCCTGACCGGTGCCGCCGCTTCCTGCCAGGGTGTGCTTGTGTTGCGGGAAAGTGGTCCCCAAGTTCCCGTGAGCCACCTCCCTTTCGTGGGTCACTCTAGGTGTGATTAAACCGACGCAGTACAAGCCCGTGCCCGATGAAGAGCCAAACTCCACAGACGTGGAGGAAACGCTGGAGCGGATAAAGAGCAACGACCCGAAACTCGAAGAGGTGAACCTCAACAACATCCGGGTGAGCCTTCCTCTCGCCTCACCCCCTGGGAAGCTCTGGGCCTGTCACCGCCCTGCGCTGAGGCTGAGCTCGCAGAGGCCACGGCCTGTGGGTCCGGGAGCTTCTGCATCAGGAACGGGCACAACCTTTCAGAGGGGAGGGCAGTTTAACAAGCGCGTCCCGTGGTCCTGGTGTCCTGTGGATGACTGCCATCAGGCCCAGGGTCCCCCGGGGCCAACCCAGCCTCAGCTCGGAAACCCGCTATGTTATTCAAAACACAGCTTCTCTGAGATAAACTCCTGAGTCACACACTTGGCGACACAGGATCTCAAGGCTGGAAGAGCCCGGTGCCCACCAGGCTCGCGGGGTAACCCGACCCCGGAGGGGCCGCCCCTGAACTCCACTGTTGCTGAATCGTGCCCCGTTCAGCCTCCTTCGGCACCGGCACCGGGAGGGAGCTGTCGGCCCAGATATCTGCAGAGGTATCCCAAGCTGTCAGCCATCTCTCTCCGGACGTTTCCCGTGTGACCACCAAGGGCACAGGAGGGACAGATGGACGGGCCGTCCTACGCTGGACAGGCGGCGAGAGAAATTCAGAAGCAGCCCAGCTGCCTGCCCACCTGCTCAGCCGGAGGCCAGTGGGATTAGTCCTGGGCGGGGGCGGCAGTAAGACAAGACGAGGCCCCTCACTCCCCGGTTCCTCTTTCCTTCCTTCTCCACTTTCTTTTAAGTGACTGCCAGCCCCATAGCACAATCAGATTGGAAACCTGGGTCTGAAGTGTCCCCCTCCACCTGGCGTCCCAGGCTCTGTTCCCATGGGGAGCTAAGGTGACACTCTGAAATGAGAGACCCATTCGAACACAGCCAGGGCCTCTCTCGAGTGCCCCCACTGCCTGCCCTGTGCCTAGCGGGAGCCGGGCACCGTTCAGAACTGCGCACGCTGGCAGTGAGTGCCGACGTGCAGGGCTTGGGGTGCGGGACCTGGCTCTGTGCCCTCACCGAGGGCCTCCGCTGGGACTCGCCCTCGCCAGGCCCCAGGTGGCCCTCTGCACATTAGGCAGTTGGAATAGATCCCTGTATTTCACCTGAGTAAATGAAAAAATATATACCAGTGCCCAGACCTACCTGTCCCTAGATTCTAATTTTATTGGTCTAGAGCAGGCTCAAGCATCAGCATTTTGTACAAATTCCCCAGGAACCTCTGATGTGTGGCAGGGCTGAGACCCTCCGGGACAGATGTCTCTTAAAGATGATCTAGGGCAACCCCCCTACACACACTTTGTTTTCCAGTAACAGGCCCAGAGAAGGGGAGAGACCTCCCCAAAGTCACAGAGCAAATCAGAAACATTGTCAGTTGCTGGGGCAGAGGTCAAGCCCTGCCCCCCCCCCCAGCCCCCTTGAAGTCTTGGCACAACACCCCTCTCTGCGCACTGCCTTGATTTCCCTTCTCTCATCCCTGTGTGCACACAGCAGGAGTTGTGCATCCTGCCTGAAATTTTCAGGGAGGATTTTCTCAATCTGTTTATCGGAAAGTTCTCCCCAAACCCCAGCCATTTGGAGCAAAGCCCTAATCCTTTGCCCATTTAGCTTTTTGGTCAGAGACTTGCTGTAAATCAGGCTGCATGTGTGAGATAGTTGCTTCCCATCTGTTCGCCCAGTGTGCCCCTGGCAGGGCTGCTTGTCACTGCCTTTCTCTCTGCAGAATATTCCCATACCCACCCTCAAGGCGTACGCAGAAGCCCTGAAAAGCAACTCGTATGTGAAGAAGTTCAGCATCGTGGGGACACGGAGCAATGACCCCGTGGCCTTTGTATGTACCTTTCTGTTCTGCTGTGTGAGGGTGGGAGGCATTTAAATAGGAGGGTGGCTGCTTGTGGCCTCAGGGCTGGCCATAGCCCTCTGATGAAGAACCGGGCGTGGTGAGGCGAAGCGCACTGGGCGAGAGCCAGGAGAGGATGCGGACAGAATGGTTGTTACCCAGGCACCACCTGTGCGTCATCCTACTTACTCTTCACCACCACCCCTGATCCCAGGAGTGCAGGTCTCCCCACTCTGCAGATGAAGAACCTGGGGTGCAGGAAGCTCAGGAAACTTGCTTTGTCCAAAGTTGCAGAGCAAATGGGAGGTGAATCTGAGATTTATGTTTTTTATCCTCACCCGAGGACATTTTTGCATTTATCTTCAGATAGAGCGGGAGGGAGAGAGGGGGAAGAGAGAGAGAGAAACATCGATGTGAGAGAGACACATTGACTGGTTGCCACCCACACAACCCCAACTGAGGTACGTGCCCATAGCGGGAACCAAACCCAGGACTCTCTGGTCCACAGGCTGACGTTCTAACCGCTGAGCCAAACCGGCCAGGGCTGAATCTGAGATGTAAATGCAAGTCCCATGGACCCTACAGCTAGATACCTGCATTTAGCATGTCCTGTTGGACAAGGGCCTGCCCCACACTGGACCTCAGTTTCTCCATAGCTAAAATCATTATCTTTGTCAGCAGGTCCTGGTGACCAATCTTATTTATGTTTTTTGTTTGTACCCCGCTGCCTGCCCCGGCTCTTCTGCCCACCCCTACACCCAGTTTCTCCACCCCAGTCCAGCAAACAGCCTCTAGGACCTGCTCAGCCACCAGCATGTCCACTTAGATCAGCCCGATGGACTTGCCTTCTGAACATTTAACAATATTCTGATTATCAAGCTCAGGCAGGCTTCTCCTGGGGAGCAAGAGGGATGCTGCGGAGAGAACACAGACTGGGCCCCTCCCCTCAGGAGGGTCCAACCTACTCAGGGTCACAGAGCAAGTGGCACGGCGTCCCGGGGTGCACAGCGGGGCGAGCTGAGGAAGGAGTGAGGATTGCAATAAGGAAGGCTTCCTGGGAGTTGAGCCTTGTGGAAGGTTTCAGCAAGCAGGGACGTGGAAGGGCGCTCCTGGCTCAGATCATCGTTTCAGACAAGCAGGGCTCACAGATTGTACATCCGGGCCTATCAGCTGCTGGTGTCTCCTTTCCTCCCTGACACATTGTTTCCACCAACCGCTAATTACTTCATTTCCCTCAAGGCTCTGATTGTCATCTGCACCCCGCCAAATTCCTCCCGAACGTGCCGGGGGCTACCTGAGCTCCTCTCCTCCCATTTGCCCTGGTCACTTGCCCAGTGGGGTGGTTCCCCAGGCTTCCCTCTCTGCTCCATGCTGCTCAGACCAGGAGAACGACTCTGGAATCCCAGCGGGGAAATAGAAGAGACCAGTGAGGACATGGGGGGAGGTTGGGACTCCACCAGTCACTCGGTGAAGTGACGGAGGCCCTGTTCTGTGTTGAGCACTGTGGGCACCATGGTGAACCAGGTGATTGTCAGCCCACCAACAGTAGAAAGTCTGCTGGCAGAGACAACATCAAAATAAAAACAGTCTAACCTGGAAATACTAGCTCCATAAAGGAGGTTATGGATACATTCTATGAGCTTCAAGAAGACAGACCACAGCTAGCTGGGGGTGTCAGCAAAGGCTCGGAGAAAGGGGCACAGAATGGCCTTGAAGGACAGGCAGGGTTTGGGTGAGGGAAGCAGAAAGGAAGAGGTACTCCATGTAGCAGGGACAGGCTAGCAGAAGCTAAGCAGTGGGGGAGCACTGGGCATGCATGGGGGACGGAGTAGCCCCACCATGAAGGAGTAGCCCCACCATAAGGGAGCAGCGAGAGTTGAGGCTGAAGGAGAGAGTAGAACCTGCATTCTGTAGAGGCTTTGGATGCAGGCTGAGGAGCATGGAATAATCCAGGAGGGGTTCGGGAGCCATGGCCGGTTGGAGGGGAGGGGAGACACGGAGCTGTGCTTGGTGAAGGCAGTGTGGAGATCCTCTTGCCTGGTCCCTAGCTCGAACAGAAGTGTACAAGGGACTCTTGCTCCCAGCAACGTTCCCTCAGTAGTTTAGTTTCTAGCCAAGAGGGGCTCAAGTCTTGCTCAGGGTGACTCACGGGTACCCCCGCTTTTCTCCTGCGGCTCAAGGCCCTAGCGGAGATGCTCAAGGAGAACAAGGTGTTGAAGACACTGAACGTGGAATCCAACTTCATTTCCGGAGCTGGGATCCTGCGCCTGGTGGAAGCTCTTCCACACAACACTTCTCTGGTGGAACTGAAAATTGATAACCAGGTAAGATGAGCAAGGGCCTCCTCGGGTTCTTCACGACGTGATGCTCACCACTCTGTACGTGTCCTGCATGCTGCTGGCTGGAGGAGGTGCTGCTTGATTGTAAAAGCTCCAGGTCCCGGCTTCAAGGGACCTCCACATGCTCACCTTCCATCCCCATCAACTGCTCTTGCAGCTTTTAGTGTGTTCCCCTAGTGATGGGGAGTTCACTCCTTACCCTTCTGTTATTAGTGAGACTATCCTTTCTTACTTCCTTTTTTATTTTTGTTGTTGTTGTTAATCCTCACCCAAGGATATTTTTCCATTGATTTTTTTTTCTTTCAATAGAGTGGAAGAGAGAGAGGGATAGAAAGAGAAACATCAATGTGAGAGGGACACATCAATTAGTTGCCTCAGGCCAGGAATCGAACTTACAACCCAGGTACATGCCCCTGACTGGGAATCAAAACCAAGACCCTCTGGTCCACAGGCTGATGTTTTAACAGCTGAGCCCAACTGGTCAGGGCAAGACTATCCTTTCTTATATCCAATAGAAATTGTCTCTCTTAAAGTCCTGTTTGTTGGGCTTAAATCTTTTCTGTGCTACACACACAGGACATATCTGTTGTTACAAATCTTATAAATCATGGGAATCGTCCTCACCAGGCTAAATATCTCATTTTATTCAATCACCCCCTATTCATTCTCATTCTCATTCATTCTCTCTCTCTCTCTCTCTCCTCCCTCTCTCTCTCTCTCTCTCTCTCTCTCTCTCTCTCTCTCTCTCTCTCTCTCTCTCTGAGTTTTTGAGTCTCCATACCATTGAGGATATCCTCTGGGCAAATTCTAGTTCGATCCTTATGGGGTATTGTTTATTTATAACTTCTATGATTCAGTTATTTATTTTTAAGGTGACTCTTTCAGTTCTGACTTTTAAAATAATTCTAGTAACAAAACCTTGTATGTAAGCTATCTTGTATGTTACATGTGTTGAGGGTGCACTGTGGGCTAGGCTCTGTGCCATGCACCCGATACACATCATCTCTGATTTTCCCAACCTCGCTGCAGGATGTGGGCATTATTTATCCCAGTTTACAGAAGGAAAAACAACTCAGAGAGGCTGAGACAAGCAACTTTCTCAGGGCCACCAAGTTTGCACTTTAGGAAGTAGGATTTGAATCCAGGACTCTGGCTCCAAAACCCACACTCCTTCCATTACACCACATTGTCTCCAATGTTAAAACGCTTTCTTCTTGATGGTGTGTGGATAGGGAACTTTTTTTCTCTCCATGAAACTCTTTGCTGAATGGTCCTATAAATGTGTGCATAGGAAAAAGATTGGAAGGGAATATAACAATTATAAATAGAGGTTCTCCCTGAATGAGAAATTTAACTTGATTGTAAAATATTACAAACATACAGAAAAGGGCATAAAACTTGAATGTATCATTTAATGAATCACATCAGGCTTGTAAGCCCTGCCCAGGTCAAGAACTAAAACATTAGCAGCTTCCAGAAGAGTTCTGTGGTCCCTTTTCAGTCATAACCCCTTCAAAGCTCTTACCAGTTTGCTCCCTACGTACTTTTATACCACCATGTTTTTGCTCTTGCTTTTCTCCCCCACTGGAGAGTCCTCTCCTGCTCCTACCTGGAGGACTCCTCCTCTTCCTCTGGATCCAGCTGAAGCTTTTCCTTCTCCCGGTGTATTTAATTATATTTAATTTGATTTTTTCTTTATTGACTTTAGAGAGAGGAAGGGATAAGGAGAGAAAGAGAGAGAGAGACAGAGAGACATCGATGGGAGGGAACATCGATTGGCTGCCTCCTGCATGCCCCCCACTGGGGATCAGGCCCATAACCTGGGCATGTGCCCTGACCAGGAATCAAACCAGCAACCACTGGGTGAATGGGTCGACGCTCAACCACTGAGCCACACGGACCAGGCATCCCGGGGTATTTTAGAGCCAGCTTGAACCAGCTTGCAAGAGCAGTCTGTGCACCTCTTTCCAACTCCCCTTCAGCAATGGCATGTTGGAACCCTGGAATCACCCCTACTGGGAACATTGACACTATGGAAATTCACCCACCAGAGTGAGTTAGGCGCTCCCTCCCTGTGCTCTCCCGGGACCTTGGCTTCCCTGTGAGAATCTCAGAAGCTGGTGCTGTGTCTGAGTCACCCCGATATCTCAGGGCCGAGCTCAGAACTCGGCCTGCAGCAGTGCTTGGTAAGCAGGCTGCCCTGGATGGTTGTGTGTGTGGTTCACTGCACAGTGAGGGGCAGGGGTCGGAGTCCAATGCGCATTCTACCTTCCAAAGCTCGGTGTGGGGCTTTGTTCCCCAGAGTGGGTGCTTTATGCTAATTCATATAAAAAGGCCACAGGAGCCTGCAGCGGCCCTGTCGTGTGAATCTGCTGCGCTGGACTCCTTGCATCTCTCAAATGCCGGGGTCCTTGCACTTTATTGCCCACCTTTTATGTCCCTCCTTGGGCCATTGCTGACCCTGCTTTATTGGCAGGAGGGGCACAGCAGATGGAACAAAGGCATACAGCAGGCTTGGCAGCAGGCGGGCCAGGCCCTGGAATCGGCTGGCCATGTGATTCTAGCCTGGCTGTGCAGCGAGTCAGGGTCTACCCAGGGGCAGCTGAAACCTGACACCCAGGCAGAATGTGGCCAAAGATGGCCCAGAGCCCTGGCCTCAGGTCACCGTGGTGGCAGTTGTCAGGGAACAAGCTGCCTGCCTGCCTTTTCACTACTATCCCCCCAAAGCCCAGACAAGGAGCCAGTGCTGACCGTCACCCACCCTCACCCTGGCTGAACTCCCTAGTGCAGGAATGATCACCTCCCTGGGCCTCAGTACCTCCCACGTAAAGGGGGATAATAAGAATTTCCACTCCTGAGGAGATGGCAGATTAAACTGCGTGGTTGTTAACTTCTGTAGTTACTCCAGAGGTGATCTAGGCAGTTGACACATTATTCTGAATTAACTTCCTGAGCAGGTACCGTGAATCCATGATGTCATGTAGTGCTCACACAGACTATGATGGAGTGTTACAATTCATCCTGGAATTGTAGAGGAAACTGAGGCCCATGCCAGCAATGTGACCTGCCCAAGGTCATACAGTTCGTAAGTGGCAGAAGCAAGATCCAAACCCAGGTCCGTGACTTCAGAATCCATGCTCTGTGCCTGTCTGGGCTCTTGAACCCTGCTGTCGTTTCACATGGACCTCGCTTGGCTTTTCTCAGCTGTCCCTCCGCTTTGGTGCAAGGCCGGAGCATTCTCACCGCCTACCCCCACATCCCGGAGCCTCCTTTGGGTTTATCTCAGTGTTGGGTGAGTGCCGGCTGCACCCCGGAGCTGTGCTGGGCACTGCGCGAATGAGGCTCCACCTCTGCCCTCAGGGACTCCGCGCTGCCAAGGGAGATACACACGTGCAGAAATGACCTCAGATGAGGTGCCCAGCGAGCCACAGACAGCGGCCCTGCTGCCCACGGAGCGAGCGGCCTCCGGCAGGAGCAGGCATCCGGGGGCTTCTGGGAGGGGGTGGAGTGTGAGTATCTCAGGGGGTGAAGTACCGGCCCTGGCATCCCTATTGCAGGAAACCACATGAAGGAAGAGAAGGAAGAGGGAAAGCCAAGGAGCCCATCTAAACATGATTGATGGTACCCCAGAGGAAGGCCAGAAAGGGAGTTGGGAGTCCGAGGGGCTCTGAATGGGGGCTGAGGGAAGGGGGGCTGCGGACTGCCCTGTGCACCGAAGGTGTGTTCTGGGAACATGGCTCCCTGCTGGATCGGAGCGGGTTGGGAGCAGGGAGCGGGCGCCAGGGCCTGGGAGACCAGAGCAGGTGTTAACGTGCTAGATGAGGAGGCCCGTGGGGAGTGCTCCCTATGCCCGGAGCCTGGAGACTGAACGCGGTCTGGCAGGGGGGAGGCGGGCGGGGAGGAGGCTGGTCTTGGGGAGGATGCTCCGCCACCCAGGCTCTGGGGAAGGCCACCATGCCTCTCGCAGTGTGTCCTAGGAGGTCTGGGCATGGTGACTGCCTCTCATCGGGTGCCCCAGCCCCTAGACTTCTGGGGAGTGTGACCAAAAGGAGGTGGTGAGTGGCATTTGATTTATTCCTCATTCTTGGTTAGTCCCCGAAGCCTTCAGAGCCTGCAGCCTTCTCCTCAGCCCTTGTGCCCATAACCTGTGTCAGTGAGTCTGTGTTCTCCTTCCTCCTTATATGGCCAAAGAAAGGGACTTCGGGCGTTCTACCCCTTGACACGGAGCCTCCCAGGCTGGCTCAGGACACAAATTCAGGACCCAGGACTCTGAGGCTCTTTGTTTACTCAGCCAGTCTTTCTTGATCTCCAAACATGCTCTGTTGCTGCCTGAAGCTGCCCAGAGCCTGCAGGGAGGGTGGGAGGGGGCAGAGGGCCCCTGGCCTAGAGCTGAGGGCACCGAGGAAGCGGCTAATCCAGCCCTCCTTTTGCAGGTGGGGAAACTGAGGGTCCGAGAAGGGACGAGACTTGCCCGAAGTCCTAGCTCTAGTAAGATTCAGAGCTGGGCTGGAGCTGAGATGCCCTGACTTTCAAACAGGCTGCACATATGCATGGACAGCCCCCAGGGCACAGACCCTACGGAGAGAGTTTCTGCAGGCCCGGTCCATCCCAGGCAGGTCACACCCAGACGGCGGTTCTCTGGGCCTCTCACTTGACCCTCCTCACTCCCAACAGAGCTCCCTCCAGCAGGCCGTTCCCTGGGACCCTGAGGGCACAGGACGCTCTCCCTGCCCCTCTGAACAGACAGCAGGGCCTGAAAACACGGCCCCTGCCCACATGAAGACATGTGCGAAGCCTGGCATTTTAGCTGGATTTGTCGCGTTTCATTCCAAAGTCTGACAGTGAGGATGTGCTTCATATTTTGAAAAAAGCTAAAGAAAGTGGATTGTGGTTTCTTGTTTATCCAGATTGGATTGTTTTTTTCTGATGAAAATAAGTTTAGAAAGAAAACAAAAGCCACGTTGAAATAGGACCCTGAAGGGTTT